GTATTGCAAGAAGTGCAAGAAAGTTCGATAAAATAAGATAAATGAGAAAAATTGGATTTAGTGTACATTATCGAAATATGGAAAAGTATTTGTCTGACTCGAATGAAGTCTTAAATTAAAAGTGTTGGCTTTATGGCCACGAGCTTTAGCATATTTTCTGATTTGCTTTCGCTACCAAAAGTTACTTGGCATTCGATGAATATTGGAAATGTTGGCGGGTATGATTCCAGGAAAAGCTGCGTAACATGAGGAAAAGATAAAGGGGAAAAAGGAAGGAGGGTTAAGTTAAAAGGTTACATGGGTTTCCTAGGTTCAAAACTTTTTTTCTCATAAAAAACATGAAGTACTTTATAAGAATTTTTTATTGCTACAAACATATGTACACTATTAGTAAAGATATTCTGAAATTTTTGAAAAAAAAAAAATATTTTAAGCTCAGCGGAATCATTCAAAGGGAAAACAAGTAAGGAAGGGCTAAGTTCGGGTGTCACCGAACATTTTATACTCTCGCATGATAAAGTGATAATCGAGATTTCAGGCGTTGTTGTCAACCGATTTCACCCATATTTGGTACATGTCATCAGGGTGTCAAGAAAATATTATATACCGAATTTCATTGAAATCGGTCGAGTACTTCCTGAGATATGGTTATTTAGTCCATAAGTGGGCGACGCCACGCCCATTTTCAATTTTTAAAAAAAGCCTGAATGCAGCTTCCTTCTGACATTTCTCCCGTAAAATTTTCAACATAACCTTTGTATGGGAGGTGGGCGTGGTTATTATCCGATTTCTTCCATTTTTGAACTGTTTATGGAAATGCCTAAAAGAAAAGACTCTATACAGTTTGGTTGACATAGCTATAGTAGTTTTCGAGATATGCACAAAAAAGGTAGTAGGGGGCGGGGCCACGCCCACTTTTCCAAAAAAAATTACGTCCAAAAATGCCCCTCCCTAACGCGATCCTTTTTGTAAAATTTCATTTTAATATCTTTATTTATGGCTGTTATGACACTTTATAGGTTTTCGGTTTCCGCCATTTTTTGGGCGTGGCAGTGGGCCGATTTTTTCCCATCTTCGAACTTAACCTTCTTATTCAGCCAAGAAATACGTGTACCAAGTTTCATCATGATATCTTAATTTTTACTCAAGTTACAGCTTGCACGGACAGACATCCGGATTTCAACTCTACCCGTCACCTTGATCACTTTGGTATATGTAACCCTATATCTGACTCCTTTAGTTTTAGGACTTACAAACAACCGTTATGTGAAAAAAACTATAATGCTCCCTTTAGCAACTTTGTGGCGAGAGTATAATAATTCGCGTTTCAGTTAAAACCTTAACTTACACTTGGGCAAAGGAAAAAAATAAAAATTGGATCTTACGAAAAAATAAAAATTTCTCCGAAAATTTTGCGATTTTTTTTTCTCAACAAGTTGTAATTAAAAAATCCTTTATTCAAGACTTTAAGAATTGTATCTAAAAGATTTGTAGAAAATTTCCTGAAGATGGTTAAGTTGTCCTCGAAAAATCTCTGCGAACCGACTCAAAAAACATAGTTTCGAGAAAAACCACTTTAACGCGTAAAAATTTAGGATAATATTCTACAGGTGTTGTAGAATTTAATAAGACAATAAAAACAACCTTTTTTTGAAGCCCGTAAACCTATGTAACCGTTTAAGCGTTATATTCCGTACGAAATCAACTAGAAGATAGTAAATCCTAAACATTATGTCGGGCTAAGTTCTGGTCTAGTTTCGACTAGATTTGGTGTTAAAATATTTATGCTCGAAAGTATAGTCGGCCAATTTTATTCAAATAACTCCCAAATTGACCAATAAAAGTATACTAATAAACAAAACTTAAATACCGGTTCCCGGTTTTTTGGCACCAAACTATATGCACACAAGCTTATACGTTTAATTAGTTTTATTCAGATATCTTACATATTGGGAAGCTAGGGAAATTATTGACTCGATCATACCTGTTACTGGCATCATGACGTATCATTACCAAAAAACTAATGTTCGATATACATATATTTGGTTTTTCTTAGGTCTTTGTTACCTACAACTTTTCTCCATTTTCGAAACACGGACAGAATGTTATCAATGTTATCAAAAACAGACGCTCTAAATTTCATATATGGATCCATATACACTGGTAAGACTCATTTTGAATGGGAAAGTTAAAAAAGTATTCAGGGTATTGACCCTTATTTTTTACACATTTTGAACGCTTTTATAGCAATTTGTAAATAACACGCCAATGGAAATGTTCGTATTTTGAAGCAAACCAATCAGATGGCCAATTTTCGTCTCTTGCGTAGGAATCAAAGTGCTGCTCAGCCGAGATGAAAACAAATGGTAATCGGAAGCGGCTAAGTCTGGTGAATATGGCAAGTAGGGAGCAGCTCTCACTCAAATACTTTGATTGTATCCTAAACCGATTTTGTGTGCAGGTGAATTCTCGTGTAAAAAAATTACTTTGGCTCATTCTGGTCATTTTTCGATCGACGCATGGTTAAAACTGATCACTTGTTATGTATAGCGATTAATTTTAATACTCTCAGAAGGTTTTAGAAGATCATGATAAAGCAAACCTTTCTGATCCCACAAAAAACCTAGCAATGCCTTCTTACCGAATCCATCTGCTTTTGCAGTCGTTGTTGGTGGCTGTCTTGGATTAACACATGATTATCTCCATTTAGAATCCTTAAAATAAATATACTTTTCATAGTCGGTGATAATTCGAAGTAAAACTGATTTTCTTTCATGTTTTTGAAGCAAAATTTCTGACGTATTTTTTTCGATTTTCTATTTGTCTTCCATTCAATTCATGCGGCACCAATTTCCAAATTTTTGCATCTTTCCCATAGCTTTCAAGAGGACTGAAATTGATTGTTGCGCAAAAAATTTTTTTTCTTGGACTCAGAGTATCATATTCTTCCAATATTGTTTGCAGTTCGACGGCAAAAATTTTGGACATCTTCAACGTTCTTTATTTCTCGCCTTAAAATCGATATCATTGAAGCGTTGTCTCTTATATTTTGCTTCTGACGGAGCACGATCAGCTTTTACAAGCATTCCATGCGACTTTTAGCACTTTTCTTTTATTGAGAAAATATGAAATTTTTTTTTGTTCAATGACTGAAACGTTTTTGAATGTGTTGGACTGATTTCATGCCAACCAAACAGAAAAATAATTAAGCCTCGTTCACAAAAGAGGCACATTTGTATCATAACGTCCACTTCACAGCGGTATACCGGTATTGCTTCATATGTTTGTCCGCGATGGAATCCCAAACCACTGAACCGATTTTAGCAAAATTAAGCACACAGTGTTCAGTTCGAATTAGCTTGAAAGATAAAATAGTAAAAATAAAGTGAAAGTTCTATTAAATGGGCGATCTATTAAGCATTAGCACTTAAGTAACTATGCACTTTGGCCGTTGCCACAATTTCACAATTTTTTGATGTTTACAAAGTACAATCTATTAAGCGACTAACTCTATTAACTGGACAGAAGGGCTGATAACCAGACATTGAGAAAATTCTAATGAAATTTATTTGTATGAACAGAGTGGCTAGAGGAAGCACTGGACCAATAGTTTTTCTTTTTAGCCACACTCCAAGTGACATTTTTCAGAAAAGAGTTGCCCACTTAATTTCCATAAGATATTTCACAAATTTGCTATGATTTTGGGCATAAAATGAGCCATAGCAATTAAGGTTCTCATACTGCGTGTCTGGAGCTTGAAAAGTTATATTGAGATGCCATATGTTGAATATACTATTTTAGCAACGTTTTATTGCAATACTTTACTTCATCCAAGTAGTGCGAAGTGAAAGAATTCTGATATAATCTAATACTAGAGGCAAAATATGCGTGGTTATCAAGGTTTATAATACATTGAACGAGGGATTAATTATATCAACCTTAGTTGCCATGAAGATTTTAGTAACCAGAAACAAACGTCGGAGACTCTATAAACTATATACATAAATGAACAGCGTGACGAATAAAATCGGTTCCGCCATATCCATCTGCTATCTGTTTGTCTCTATCTACGCGAACCAGTCCTTCAGTTTTTGAGATATCGATATGAAATTTTGCACACATTCTTTTCTGCACAAGCAGCTACTTATAAGTCGGAAATGCTCACATCGGATCACTATACGATATAGCTGCCATACAAGGTGATCGTTCAAAGTAAAGTGCTTGTGTGGAAAGCTTTTTTATTTAACAAGGCATCTTTACGAAATTTGACCAAAATTTTTACTTAAGGAACTATGTAATCTCTGAAGAAATTTTTATGATCAGATCACTATAACATATAGCTGTCATACCAGCAGACCGATCGAACTCAAATAATTTTATAAAAAGCTTCTCTATTGGATAAGATATTTTCATGAAATTTGCTACAGATTATTGCCTTGGATAGCGCCACAATCTCCAAACACATTGTTCAGATTGGACGACTGATGCATATAGTTGTCTTACAAACTCACTATCAAAGTCAATATAAAAATAATTAATTTCCCTTTATGCTATAAGAAATGCAGCTGTGAAGAGTTTTATTAACTTATTTTATTTTCTTACTTGTTTTTCACCCCTGGAACCCATGCAGACACATCAACGTCTTTTTCGCATTCAAATTCGTTCAAGGAGATCTCGGAAGTTGAACTTTTTGCTTGCAAAATGTTGCTTTTTGCACTTTTTCGCCGCATTTTTGCATGTAATCAATTGTACTTCTTATCAGCTTTCATCCATGGCGCCTGCATTCCTTCCCCACCGCCCCCCCGCCAACCAGCCTTGCACACTAGTTATTACGCTTCAATTGTACACGCGCATATTGTGTCCCATAATACGCAACAACCATTTATTAAATGAAAAACTTCTGTTGCACAATACATCACATGTGCTTAATATAACAACAACAATAGCAAAAAAAACGCACTCTTTATATTATTTTCACATTTTCTCTTGTTACGTTGCAGATGGCGACAAACACTTAGGCGCGCGGCAAGCAGTCACAGCACAGTAAACCGTTATATGCAGCAGAGTGCCAGCCAGAGGTGCGTTCAAGTGTAACAAATATAACGGACCAGCGTCCAACGGCATTGCCGGCAGCTGCGTGCAAATACATTTGCGTCACACAGATGTTGCAACAACGCCACCTGAGCGAATAAACAGGAAACGAGCAAAAGGAAAAAAAAACTGTAAATGGTGTGGCACAGTGCTGTGCTGCGTGTGAATGTGTGAATGGGCGACTGAATGGAGGAAAAATTGCCAATTCAGTTGCTCAATAGCGATCGCAAACAATCGAAGTGAAACGTGTGCAACAGCAACAACAACAGCAACAAGAGGAGTAGTAGCAGGAGCAACTGTGCGTTGTTAAGTAAAGGGCGACATGTGGCATGCTACACAAAAAAGGCAAGGTTAAAATAGCGCAACAAACGCATTTGCAACAGTGTGGCAGCACGGCTGACACTAACGAAAACAAATGAAATAATAAAATTTCTGCAACAACAAAGCGACACGCGCTCAAACAAGCCCAACAACAATAAACAATTTAAATGTCCAGCAAGCCAAACGCGAAGTGGCAACAAGAGAGAAAAGAGTGTACAAAGCTGGCGACCAACGCAGACGAACTGAATACAAAACAGCGAAAGGGTATCAAGTGCCGGCGGCGAGCGGCAGCTTAAAAGCAGCCACGCATTGGCAGTGATGTTGGAGGCGTTGCATGGGCAGCAGCAGCAGCAGTGGCACCACAACTACTACTACTACTACAAAGGCGACGACGACGACGACGACGTCACACAGCGCTCGGTACCCGAGTTGCAAGCAAATTCCATCAATTCTCGTCAACGGCGCAAAGGTATCAGCAGTCAGGCCAGCTGCCAACGGATAGGCCGCCAACAACGACACAATACGCCAGTTTATGGCAACACACATGCCCCAGCAGCAATCGAACGGCAAATAAAGAAAGAGAACCAACAACAAAGGCAAAAACGACGAGGCAAACGACGGCAGCAGCTTGAACGGCACACAGTTGCCAAGAGGCGAATTCGGTGCGGCACAGCCGTTCCGCATGACAAACGACAGCAGCAGCAGCAACAACAACAACAACGGCAAAAGCATTGCATTGAGTCGCCGCATGTTGCCACATTAGTTTGCTGATATCGCAAGCAAACGCTGGTGTACTATTTCCGGTCGAGCGCCGACAAGGACACACGTCCCGTCAACAACGGCAGGCAAATATACCTGCGCTAAGGTTACTCATACGCAGTGGAGCGGAGCGGACGAGCAGCCGCTCTTGGTTGTGACATATCCTTCCTCTTTTTCTTGCTGCTTTTTTCGCTGTGCGCTTCTTGCAACTTCCTTCAACTGCTGTGTGTCGGCAACGCATTTAAATTGCCGGCTTACCGCACACCCACACTCACACGCCCACAATATCACCACTTCCTGGCAGCAGCAGGGCGTGTGCAAGGCAGTTGTTGCCATTAACAGCAGCTATAGCGGGGAAATATATGCAACAGCAACAACAGTAAGCGCTAAGTTGTAGTGGCGTAGCAGCAATACTAGCAACAACAGCAGTTACAATAACTTTGAGCGATAGTCATTCGATTGAAGCGCGCAGCAAGGCAATCCCAGCAAATATGAGCAGAAATTGTATTGCAATTTGCTTGTCAGGTGAGTGCGTGTACCGTTATTGTATACCTACCTATGTGTTAATGTATCCCGTTGTATGCGCAAATGGCAAGTGTTGCTCGCTTGCATATTTGTGTAGCACGCGTTGCAACGTTGCACTTTACGCTGATTTATGTATGACGTAAGCAAAGGGCAGTTGTTCGATAGGTGCTCAGCGATTGACATGCCAAAACTCGCAATGTTTTCAAAACCTGAATTGATGCAGAGAGATTTATGTGGGCCCTTTGAGTGGGGTTACATTTCGTTTTCTCAATAATTTTCATGATTTTTTTTTTTCAGTTTAAAAAATAATTTAAATTATTGAAACCTTGATATAGACAATTCTTGAAAAATATCTCTAAAAAAATACCGGTTATAAAGGCGATCCCATATTGAATGTCACAATTAGGTTCATTGACGTCAAGAGGCATTAAAATATGCATGTCTCTCATCTATATTGAACTAGGTTAGGTTAAATGGTCGATCATAAGAAAGATCTCAGCTCTAAGGCGTCTTATAACGGCAGTACGTTGGGTTACCTAGAACTCCTATAAAATTGATCATAAATCCATAAATCGGCGAGCACCGATCACCTTTGTAAAGGCAGCTATTAGTAGTTTAGACACTCTTATGTCTCTAGATTCCTCGAAAATACGAAAAAAAAATTCTATGGTGCTTCTACCTGAACTTTCCTTTCAACTATGCCAGTTTATGCCCGACTGGATTTTTAGCCTTACAGCATGAATTCTTACTGAACAATATTTAATAAGAACTCTTACGTTTGAGATGATATAAACCTTCAGAATATTGTAGAAGAACACGTTGATGACGAACCACCTCCAGAACGGCCATCAACGGCCACTGATGATCAAAACGTCAATAAAATAAAATAATTTCAGATTGAGAATCGAACAAGAATAGTCAAAGATCTTACTGGCATCTTTGGAATATCAGAAGGATCAGTGAGCAAAATATAGAAGATCAATGTTCCTAAAGATAAGTGAAAGCACGATTGCTTTCAAAATCAATTATCAAATGATTTTTGACTACCAGGATATCATGAAACATATTATTACTGGCGATGAGACAACCACCGATTAGCGAGGTATGGTGTACTCCGGATTCCTTTTGCCCAACCAAACCCTCAAAATGGATTACTATTTGTGGTTTATGCGTCATTTGCGCGCAACTATTCTTAAAACGAGGCCGGAATTATGATTTTTGTACCACTATAATGCTGCGTCGTATTCTGCATTGATTCTTGTTGACGTTCTCTTCAAATTTGCAACCAACATTTTCCGGATATAGCTTCGAGCAACTTTTCGCTATTCAGTTGAAGACATTAAACGTGAATCGCTACGCACATTAACTTAAGCAACTTTTTTGATAATTCTAACCTCCAATCTTCCCACCTAGTTTCGACCCAACTAGATAAGGTGAAAAATGTGTACTGTTTTAAAGTAAAGAAATTTATTCGGGCAATAGACAAGTAAGCTTTCACCTTTATTTATTATACGGTTTGTCTTCTTATCCAATATTTTAGGTTAGGATAGTGAGTCACACATTAATACATTTCAACACCAACCTCTCTAGCCTTACTGGCGATACCCCTTCAAGTGTCTCATACCTTGAGGCTCCCAAATGCTTAAAACGTCGCCTTGCCAATGCGGAAAGAGTGCTAGTAGCAACTTTGTATCTAGCATTTACGATATACAATTATCCAGTTAGATCGTTACATCCTTTTTTTTTATTTTCCTTTCCATGTACCTGATTAGGTCGTCGTATATACATATATCCGTATACCGTATAATTTGTCTGCTAATCATTTCAAACTAGTTCCGTAGTTTTCCCAATAACCTTAATTTTGGCGAATATCACTTCAGGGACTTCAAATTTCTCTCTATTGAGTATTCTCTTGACACTTGAGTAGAATAAATAATAGCTAAGGGATAGATCTGCATTGGACGCGTCTTTGCGGCAACAAATCAACAACGTGCAATTCAAAAATTTGGAAGCGGAGAGAGATAATGAAGAAATATTTTCATCTTGCTTCAAATAGATCCAGCAATTCTACTTCATTGCCGAGGAACAGCTCCAAACACAGCTTAGAATCATCAGTTAATAGATTCTGAACTCGATCCAGCATTAAGAGATGGCATATCCATACTTGATTTGAAAGTTAGTTATCTTGATCAACTTTACTTCACTATCATCGATCATTTTGTTAATTGTTCGAAAGATTTTATGCACAACAGGCAGAACGTCTGCCGCGTCGTCATCTTCAGTATTTAGTCTGGTATATTCAAGCATCTTGCATAGTTGACAATATGTTCTAATTGCATAGACAATAACATCAGGTGGAATGTATCCTTTTAACCTAACTCTCCTAATTCTAATGCGCAGAGATATTTTGAAAAACTAGTTTAATTAAACCATGGATGATAATCAATACCTTACTATTATAGAAAAGTCTAAATTTTACACCGACGTATATAGAATTATAGCATACAGAAATAGCAAGTCATAGTTATTAGATATTTCAGAAAACTTTTCTGCTTCCTAGCGAAAACCTTCGCTTTCCTACGAAGTTGATGACCGCCACCCATATTCACCAAATAATGTTCTCTGATCCTGCTTGAATTTTTATCACACTTCGAAGTCATTATATTAGGTTGTCAAAAAAGTCTTGCGGTATTTTTATTGAATTTTCAATTGTTCACATTGTTTTGATGACTCATGCCTAGCTCTTGATCAATGCTACGGCTGCTACTATGCCGGTCTCTTTCGACCAATTCAGCTATTTTATCGCAATTTTCGACGACAGGCCTCCACAACGAAAGCGTTGAAACCATCGTTGTGCGGTGGAAACGAAAACTGTTTCGGGTCCATAAACTGCACAAATTTTATTGGCGACTTGAGATGCATTTTTGCCGTTATCGTAGTAGTACTGTAAAATATGCCGTACTTTCTCTTTATTTTGCTCCATGTTTGCGACGCTATAACTCACGAACTAGTGAAAAGAAACGACAATCAATCAAACACGTGTTAGTGTGTGAAATGAGCTTTCCAAAAAGATATGGCGTGACCCGATGCGACGAATAAAACTAGAACTACGCACTCTCAGCGCCAACTAGCGAAAATACCGCAAGACTTTTTTGACAAACAAGTTCATGATGACGGTTCTGATTCTATTTCAAGCGAAAGGTTCTTTTGAATTTTCGTTAATAAAATATTTTATTCTACTTTACATTGCAAACAATTTTATTTCCTTTCTTCTCTTCCTCATACAGTTTCTCTTGTGCTCAACATTCTACTAATGTTGTTGCCACATGCAGCCAGCGATGATTGGTCGGCGAGTTGCGCCTCTAACTGTACCTGTAAGTGGACCAATGGCAAGAAGTCAGCCATCTGCAGCTCGCTGCAACTCACAACCATACCAACAACGCTGAGCACCGAACTACAAGTTCTCGTACTCAACGACAACCATATACCCTATCTGAATCGCGAGGAATTCACCAATTTGGGTCTGCTGAACCTGCAACGCATATATCTGAAAAAGTCCGAGGTACAGTATGTACACAAAGAAACATTTCGCAATTTGAAAATCTTGGTGGAAATCGACCTGTCCGACAACAAAATTGAGATGATCGACAAAGACACATTTATGGGCAATGACCGCTTGCGTATACTCTATCTAAATGGCAATCCACTGAAGAAGCTGGTGGCTTATCAGTTTCCCATACTACCGCATTTGCGTACATTGGATCTGCATAACTGTCTGATTTCATATGTGGATCCTATGGCTTTGGCGAACCTAAATCTCTTGGAGTTTCTCTATTTGAAGAATAATCTGCTCGAAAGCCTCAGTGAATACGTCTTCCAACATATGACGAATCTGAAGACACTTGTCTTGGATGAGAATCCATGGCAGTGCAATTGCAAGCTACGCAAATTTCGTAACTGGTATGTAAAGAGCAAATTGAACAGCATCAGTCTGCTGTGTAAGGGACCGCCGGCGCAGAAAGATAAGCAGTGGGAGAATGTGGATGAAGAGCAATTCGGCTGCATGCCCAAAGTGGAGCTCTTCAACAATGAGGATGTACAGAATATAGACATAGGAAGCAATACGACGTTCAGCTGCCTGGTATATGGTGATCCATTGCCCGAAGTCACCTGGGAGCTGAATGGTAAAATCTTGGATAATGACAATGTGATCTTCGACGCAGAGTCGATCTCGTCGGACAAGCTGTGGAGCAATTTGACTGTATTTAACATGACAAGCCTGGATGCAGGCACATATGCGTGTATTGGTTCGAACGTGGTGGGCGTGGCAACACAAAATATCAGCATATATCTAACGGAAATTGTACAACATGTGTTGGTGAAAACACCGGAGACCTTCTGGTACTTCGGCTTGATCATGGGCACATTCGGCACAATCTTTCTGCTCATACTCTTCTCGTTTGTGGTGTGTCTGTGCAAACGCACTTCGCGACAGCGACGCCATCCGAAGAAATCCGGCGTAAAACCGAGTGTCAGCTTTAACGATCAAGAGAAGAAGCTGCTCGATTTGAGTATAACAACAACTACAGCGGATCGCGGTGACAGCTGTATAATGGACAACAATACGACAACAACAATGAGTAAAACAGAATCGGTGATCGGCTTCGAACCAATCGAAATACACGCAACGGAGAATATGCGCAACAATCACAATCATCACCAGCTGACGCATCAGCAGGCGCACCAGCAACAGCTACAACATCATCACGCGCACATGGTAGGTGCAGCGGGCGGTGGCAGCGGCAATGCTACACCAAACTCCTTGATGGCGCCGAATCGCCAGCAACTGATGGCGGTTGCCGACGGTTCTTGCAGCGTGGTCGGTATACCAACCTCAATGGCATCGGGTGTCGGTGGAGCGACGCATCCGAGTACCATACCAGAGGAGTTCCCGCTGAACGTGGGCGTCTTTCCGCCACCGCCGGAGTTTTGCTCCAACATTGTGCCCAATCCCGCGTATGGTAATATCTTTATTAGCGTCTCGGTGACGCAGGATATGCTGGACGGCGCGGATATCAGCATGTATCCCGACCTCTTGAATATACCGAAGCGTCAACTGAATGCCGACGGCAGCACTGTGCAGACCGGCGTCAGTGTGACCAGCGGTACGGTTGGTGGCAATACGAATGCAACAACAACAACAATGTTGCCATCGGGTACAACAACGGCCGTGAATGTGTCGTCGTTTGCGACGCTGCCGCGCAATCATCAACGCCGCGGCATACTCAAGAAGGACTCATCGCTGCAGCATCAACATTCACTGCAACAACAGCAACAAACGAATTTGTATCCACACGATGAAATCGTCTCGTATCACAATCTGGACACGACCTACAGTCAAGGCTATCAGGAGCATCAGCAACAGCAACAACAACAACAACAGCAACGCCAAGCATATGCCGCGAATATAGTTGGCTTACCGCCGCCACCACCACCACCTGCCACAGCAAACTTGTCAACACAGTGCCACCACAACCAGGCGGCGGCGGCGGCGGTGGCGGCTGCCATCAACACCAAAGCCTGCGCGGCCTGCATAGGCACGCTCTCACCACCACCGCCTTCCTGCAGCACACCGCCCACCGCAATGGACGCCACACCGCTGCGACCGCTTTGCAAAGGCGGCGCCGGCAGTACAGCAGCGTCCGGCAATGCCGGCTTAAAGTACGACAACATGGGTCGGCGCATAACGGCGAGCGGCAATTCGACGCTCTCGCTGCCCGACGAGGCGGACGAGGAATGCTTGGAGGATGAGACACGTTTCATGGAGGAGACGTGCAGTATAAAGCAGGGACCACAACAACAAGACTGTCAACAACAAAAACCGACTGCGGCGAATGCAACGACAGCGAGCGGTAATTCGAAGTTGGTGGATGCGGGTGGCGGTGCGGAGTATGTGTCGCTGTAGTATTACGGCACGCAGGTGTAAATTAGTAGGCGTTGTAAGATACACAGTTATACATGGATACATCTTTACGGTTAGCGAGAACAAGAGAGTGCTAGTAAGTACATTTGCATAGTCTAGTAATTAGTAAGCAACAAATTCATCTAATATTATCTAACGGATAAGGGTCTCATATGCTAGTAACTAGTTCTCATTTTTCAACTTCATCTTCGTAAAGTAGATCATACATAAAATATTACTGTTATAGTATTTAGTATAACAAACAGCTTAAAAAAAAAAAACATTTGCAAATCCGTTAGAGGTGGAAAAGTAATTGGAAATATTTTTCATAATAATTTGCAACCCATACTGCTGACTGATCTGAGCTCTAAAGCTTCGTTCTCTAACGTAATCTAATTATATTCCTTATACACTCATACCTCAATGCTGATTCTTCAACGATAAGTGGTTTGAGCCTATCAGACATTTTTTTAAGGTGGCTAATTTAAATTTCGGTTATGTCTTCTGATTCAATTCGACGTCAGTCTTGCAAAGGCTGGACCATGGAGATGAAATTGCCTTGATGTTTTCACCACACCTTCTCCATACAGTTTTGATAACTTGCGTCCGAAAAAGTTTGTTTTAAATGCCCATTGAACAATATCTAGTAGGAATCCAACAATTGTGGCAAATTCAACTGTGACAAGTATTTCAATATATCTCTTGCGATCTGCTTTAAAGATGTCTCATTCGCAGAGAAGCATCTCGTTGATCAACGCTGCTTAGCGTAAGCAGATCCAGTGTTAGAACGCAAGATATCAACGTATGTAGTACATAAGAATTATTTTATACTCCAGTTTGAGCAGAGCAAGGATATTCTAAGATCTCAAACCAATACAATGCGTTCTATCGGACAAAACTGTGATGGGTTTGAGCTAGAAAAAGCTATGTTTATATTTCGTTTATGTAAATATTTCAGTCGAAGGACTTTTTCAGTATTTACCATTTTTATATAAGGTATATATCATTTTCTGAGGAAGATCGCTTCGATGTTTTATGTTAACAACTGTAGGCATGCTGTACGATATGGTTCAGAATTGTGTAGATACTTTTGTATTTATCTTACTCGAGATATGGAGTGACTTGATATGACTTCATAAATCTGCTCTACAGAAGTCAAATTTTGTATTCGATAGTTTAGAACCTGCTTTGAATTCATTAGCGACACTGTCAAATTAGAAGCAATTTTTCGAATAATTTACTTATTGCCTACATCGATGTTATAATATACTTAACGGTCAGTAGTTTGGACTCAACAGAAAAAAATGTTCTTGTTCTTTCCAGTCACTTTGTTTGATATAAACAATATTCAAGTCAGACAAATATTCAAGCCAAAAAAGTTTAAGTCGAATTAGGATTACCTAATAAGCAAATGTTATCTCTATCTTGAACTTGATGTTCAGAGATTTGGGCATAAGCTTAGAAAATAATTTATGCCAAATTTGGTAAAGATAATTTGAGCGGATATTCAACCGACATGGTTGAACTGACTATGGTCTTCAAGCTGATCACTTATATCACAAACTTTAAAAGAGTTTAGATATCTTTGTTGTTATTTCTTCAGCAGTATTACATATAGCTACCGGTCTGTTAATTTGGTCATTAGACTTGGATACTGCTCTCTTGTGAAAAAGATTTATATAAACATAACCAATTGTCAGGGCAAAATAGACCTAAGGTCGCGTATTCCTCGCTTATCAATCAACGATATGCCGAAGTACTCTTAGTGCGACTAATACACTGCAATTTATCAGTAGCTCGTTCGTTTTGTCACTCTGTAGTCACTGCTGATTGCCGAACAACCCTTATTTTCATATGGAAATTCGTTCAAGAATGGATTTTGGTTTTCCGTGATTAGGACTTCTTTTAGGAGATAACCTAAACAAAACCATAAATAAACTGGTGAAGTTAACAGCTTTGACCGGTAATGTAAAGTTGAACATTTAACGCTTTTCAACGAAATTTGATGGATTTCTCAGCAATTAGTTAAAAAATTCTATAGCTTTTAAGCTTCTTTCTGAAGCAAGCCATATAAAATAACTACCGAAAACTGTCATATAATATCATATATCATATAATTTTCAGGTATTCTTCGAATCGAATTATTCTTTTATGAAATCTTGTCCAGAAAAATTAACGGCAGTTTCACGTTGCATATTGAGAGATATTTCGGAAAACTCTACCAACATACAGTAATAGCAATTATTTGATTCCTCAACTCCAAAATTAATGGTAACTCATTCAGTGCTCACAGTCAAACAAGATTCTCAATAATTTTTCACTGTAAGGGGTTTTTGTTTAGGCATGTGATTTGCAATGAAAAATAAATGCATGCCGTTTAGTGTTATTATAAAGATAGGATTTACATTAAGTTTTAAAACTGATTACTTGAAAGCTATCCGTGTCCAGCGAAGTTAAATTACATGATGTAGGAGAGCTCACCACAGATCCATGCCCTCACCATACAGCGCCTTCTTGTTGAAACCAAAGCTCGTTCACGTCAACAACCTCCAATTCAGGTACGAAAAATTTATTCATTTCAAATATAGTTGCTAACATTGGGATTGGTGACTATCTCTTTTTGAAGCCATTCACCCAACGTGTGACTCGCTTAATGGTTGCTTTGCTTCAATTATTGCACGAGTTGGATTTTACCATATAAGTCCTCAATCCAAGATCTTTCCACAAAGTCTTCTATAAAGTGAATAGACACAGCTTCTTTTGTTGTTCACAATGACTGATGAACTCCTTCGAATCTTCCTCGATACTCTGCCTCACAGCAGCAATAGCCTGTTCAGTGCGCACTTAAAGGCGTCTCTGATGATGCGCATTATCCACTGAAGTTAGCAACTGATCCATGGTGGCTCCAATTACCAGCTAAGCTGAGCGATTATGTTGACCGAACACTAGATGGAGCGCGCAATGCGCCACCGTCATTGTGGTAATAAAGTCCAACAATTTGAAAGAGTTGTTCCAGGATTATTCTGTTCGTTACAAAATGGCAAACATAGCTTAGCATAAATCTTATTGGAAAGCACACGTCTAAAGCACTCGTTGTTTTGTATTTGAAGTAAATATTTGTATAAATTCGGTTAACAAAAACTGTAAGCAAAAAGGGGCCCACTATTCACAGCTTACCGATTTCATTTGAGAGCATGTTTTAGTACGCTAGTTTAGCTTCAGAATTTTTGCTCTCGTCTTTCTTTAAGTCTTCCGCAACTTACATTAAATCACCATTGGCTCATACTGAAGGTAATAGAAGCCACTAAGTTATGAAAATATTGAGTTTATTCTTCATATCCAACACTTTTCTACAAAGTTGAAATCAATATTTTTATAGTTAAATACTCTATGAGCTTAAACTTTGAGAATTAGAGCTTAGCGATAGATTCACAAAAAATTTTGTATCTTTTTCCGCTTTAATAGGCTTTTAGGCTTTGAATAAAATTTTGTAGAAATTCGCTAAATTCAGCATTTAACTATAGTTTCAATGTATTTAGCTTTAGTTGCAATATGTTCAATTAGTAAAATGCGCTGCTGCACTACGAAAGATAACATTTAAGTAAGTAAAAAATGGCTCATTTAATAACATATTTATTTAGAGAAAAAAAGACACATCATAGCGAACAACAACAAATCAAAAATACTAATTGATGTATGTAAATCGGCTTATCTTTAATTATTAATTAACTTTTATTGATGCAGATATTTATATGAATATTATATATATATATATATATATATGCCTAGGAATATGTGTATATATGTGCAACTGGCATTGTAAATATTGGCGTAGCGAAAAACCAGAATGTAAATTATTAAATAGATTAGAGATTTTTTAAACTTTTAAAGCTAAATTGCATTAAACAAACATAATTAAGCTGTCACAGATTAAAGGGAGCAAAGTGGCAAAATATCGTGGTAAAAATTTTGCAGGCAAAAAATGAATTTAAATGTAAATTTATAGCAGAAAAATGCAACAAAAACGCAAATACATAGAAAAAGTAACGGTAAACATTTTAATACAAACTATAACGCAAACAAAATAAAACAAAAATGCATTTGTGTAAACAAGTTGTAAGGGGTCATGACACCAATGCATAAAACGAGCACTTGCATGCAATATTATCGAAAAAAAAAATAAAAAATTTAATTGCCACAATTTTTTTTATTTTCACGCCAGTAGCAATGCAAAAGTCCCTCAGCCAGTAAATTGGTGTAAATGCACACCGGCGATATTTATTTGTTGTGATTAGCAAACAGCAGCTGAAGCCAAAAGCATTTTATAAACAGCCAAATAAACAACAACAAACACACATACAGTAGCGTAAATATTTGTCAATATGTATATAGCAAACACATTTACAAAAAATCAATAGAAGCTGACAAACAAGGCAAACAACAACACTTGTAAAAACTGTAAACTTTCAAAGGAAATTTAAAACCGCCAGCAATTACGAGCATGAATGAAGTCTAGACATTAATTAAAATTATTAAGTAGCATGTAAGCAAAAGGTAAAAGGAAAAAAAAAACAAAAATTATAAAGA